TTAAATCATGGAGATCCTTGGAACATCTCATTACTTACTTTGACCATAACTGAAATAGAGTGTTTTTACACTGACAGAAAATTATTAGAACAGTTGGGTAAGGAACATACAGTTTCTGAAATAGCTGGGAGAAAGTGAAAATCCCAGTTTCACTTCAGCAAGAATGGGATAGATGCAGCATTGTATACATTTGCATCTGTTCTTCAATTATCCTCATGCCCACTGCCATTACCATCATCCCATTGGTGACAATAAGCCTGTCAGACAGGCATGAACATCATTTTACAATTGAGTTTCAAAAAGACTATGAAAGATGATTTGCCCTGATTCTACCTATTGTGTGTGATATAGACATTACCATAGCAACGGGTGCAGGACTGGAATTGGAACACAATCCCAGCAACTGTCTGAAATCTTTTTCAACCTGTGGAGGTATTTCTCAGAAGCAGTGCAGTTTCCTACAGTGATTTAGGTTTTTCAGTTTCAACTATCAGAGAACTAAAACTTTCCATTTCTCTTCCTTGAGATCTATTCAGACTATTTTGTTTTAAATAGTCAACTTTTGATTATGCAGATTCCAGCCCTACTGCAAGGTGAACTTAAAGGCAGATGTACTGACCCTGGTTCTCTTGAGCCCCAAGCATGTATTGAGGCTTCACATACATTAGTGCTCAAACCTGATGCAGAATTCCAGTACCTATTATCCCACAAGAGGGGCCTTAGCAATATTTTTTAATCACTTGCCAGCCTTCATAATTAGAAAAAGGACACCAATGTCACCCAACATTTCTTAAAAACTCTATGGACAAGGTCACTATTAACAATCACTCGTCTTGGCCAGATACCTGATGACACTTCAAAATCACCACATACACACACCTTTGTGACTGACTAGAAAGAAAACACTCTCACCATCTTAAGTTATGACTAGTTGTCTTTGACATTTAATTTCAGTTTTCAGAGGAATTAATTTTGGTGCTAACATTTACATTGACACTGAACATGAGCTTACTTTACAGAATGCTCATAATGTTATTAACCACTGAATGCAGGTAAGCTGTGGACTACAGAAGGATAATGCTTTTATTTATTAGCATCTATGCTGCCATATGAGACCAATTTCTCTTCATGAAACAAAAACAAACCACCATAAGAAAAACGAATATTTTAATTTCTCTCCCTCAGTGGCAGAATCATATATCTGTTTACCAAGGATTTCCAGTACTTCCAATAAATTGCTTTTGGAATTGTAAAAATTCCATTACAGAAACACAGAGGACAGAGATAAATAGAATCACATCAGCTTATCAAATGGTTGCTTTAAACATATTCTTTAACTTACTTTTCCTGTAAGAAAAGTTTGCAGAATCAAATAGGGAATTCCACTATCAGCATAACTACTATGGGTTAGAAAACCAAAATTAAAAGGAAAAGATCAGATCAGTAACCTGGTACACTTGCAACAAAATACTAAGTCTGCAGAAGTTTGAATGTTTGTTACTATTTTACATAAGGTAGAAAATTTATAATTTTATGATTTAAAAAACCAAAGGAAATCAAAAACATATTCTTTATAAAACCAAAACATTACTCTTGAATATCTTTTTCCTTTGAGACATAAGCTGCTTTAGAAAAACAGGTGGCCAAGGCGTTAATGGTCAACATTTTTTTCCTGAAATACCCAGGCAGAAAAATTATTACATGATTTAAAAAGTAAAACTTTACAAGTTTTAACTAAATTAAAACATGCAGATATTTTCTTTGCCAAATGGTCAATAGAGAGCCTTAAATTGTTTTTAAATCTAAAGATTATTAGAGAAAAAGACACTTCTAATATAACAGTACTATTATAACAGAAACAATAAGTAAGTTCACAGAAAGCATTAAAGAAACAAAAATAGACAAAACAATAAACACTGTTAAAAGGTAGAACTGTATTCCAATTTTAAAATAAAGCATAACTATTTAAGTGAATAGTAACTTTCACATCAATTTAATGTACTTATGATGCTTGTGCTGAAACACCATGAATGTGAACACTGTGAATGAGGATGCCCAGCAGTGTGTACTTCCAAGGAATTCAGAACTACACATTATCACATTAAGAATATCATTCATCATGGATAGCCCTATGGTGTCTAAAAATCTAAACATTTGGACAGAGACAGCAGAGATACACTGTTTCTTATAGTCACTTGTAACATTCACATTACAGATATCATTATATAGTCACAATTTTTAATCTTACAGAGAAAAACTAAAATGTGAAATTGTAGCCTGTTTATCTTCTTTAAAATCATTTTTAAAGCACAGATCTGTCAATTATTAGAGGCCAAAACTAACAGAAAAAACTGATAAATGCAGTTAAAAAATTTGTAGCTAATTATACGCTAATTTTCAAAATACAATAGTTTTTTTTTTTTTTTTTTGGTCCAAGAGGCCATTAAAAAACAAAAGATAACTTAAAGAACTCACACTTATCAACAGAAATACAAAGCTCATGAAAAAAATTTCAAGACTTATTATCTTTTTTATAGTTTGTGTGTGTGTATGTGTGTTTAAACACAAGAAATATCTAATAAATAATGGTGTGAACATCTTAAAATCATAAATGCATTAAGGTGCTTTAATATGACTGTATCACAATCATCCTTTGAAGAACATCAATAACTATCTGATTTTTCTCTGAATGTCAGATGAAATAAATTATTATTTCTAATAATAACATATATCAGGATTTACTACTCACAGCGTCTGTTTTTCTCCCTCAAAGGCAGGAACCAGGAATGGCCCATAGGGCAAATCTGGCCTGCTGCCTATTTCTGTAAATAAAGTTTTATTGGAACACAGCCAACTCTTTTATTTCCATATTGTCCCTGGTTGTGTTTTTGCTATTAAGATGAAGGTGAGCAGTTTTTTTTTTTTTTTTTTTAAGAGACCATTTGAAAGCTGGGGATGTAGCTCAGTGGTACAGCACTTGCCTAGTATGTCTCTCTCTCTCTCTCTCTCTCTCTCACACACACACACACACACACACACACACACACGCGAGAGAGAGAGAGAGAGAGAGAGAGAGAGAGAGAGAGAGAGAGAGAGAGAGAGAGAGAGCATTTAATTCTCAAAACCTGAATTATTTACTAATTGATTCTTTTTATAGAAAAAGTTTGTCAACACTTGCTCTAGGGCATTTTCCTAAACCAAACAAAATAATGCACGCTACTTTGCCTTTATTAACACTCAGCTTTCTCTAATTCTAATATATATGTATATTTCAGCTTGTTTTTATAGTTCATCATATTTGTTGGTGGACTGGAAGCTCAACATCACAGATGAATTTTTGTCTTTTGGGACATAAGCATTATCTTTAGCAAAAAAATTGTTTTATTTCAGGTCACTCAGGCACTCTTTACGAATTATTACAGAATAATAAAAAAATGGATGGGTCACATGCCAACAGAATGGCCAGAAATTGTACATCGTATTTATCTTGAATAAGGAAGCTAGATAGAAAGAATAATAAAACCAAATATATAAAAGCCATTAAATCAGGCATGAAAAGGCTTAGACTTTTCAAAACACACACATAAGCACACACACACAGAAGCATCTTCCCACTTACCATAAAGAACTACAACATAAAGTAGATTTGTTTTATAAATATATTACTGTCTATATACATATAGTTACATCCACAAAACATGTTAAATAATCATTTGTATAATCAATACTACTTTAAGTTTTTTGTGTATTTTAAAATTACACATCTATTAAAATTATCAAAATAATTCTTTAAAAATATCAGGAATAAAACCAGTGAAGAGTTGCTTTCCTTTTAAGTGGTTCTAAATCCTATCATTGGTCATCCAGACCCTAGACTTGGTCATCTACAACTCAGTGAAACATTCAATTACAGAAATGTTAGCCATCAAAGGAACCCCCCCTCCCATTTTTTAATACTTCATAACAAATATGTATGTATGTGTATATGTATATATATAAAACACTCTTCTTTACTTATATTACATATTCTCATAAATGCATTTTCATAAAAACACAAAATTCAAGTTTCCACCAGTATCAAATATTTTATACTGGTGAGCATTTCTTTCAATGTTTAAGTCAATGACAAACTCTATCAGGATACAGAGATCATAAAAACGAGACCAAAAATGTCTGCATCACATGCAAGAAAGGAGGAAATACTAAGGGCCAGTATATGGCCAGTTGGATACTATTCCCTCTGGACTAAGACACAGAGACAACAGACTGGCTAATTACTGTATAAAGTACAGTCAACTGACAATTATTCAGGGGCAGAATATTCCAGTCTGAATTCTTTTTTTTTCCTATTCAGCTGACCATTATTGGCAATTTCACTACTTATTCACACACCTCTTTCTAGTTATTTATTAGCAAGTCTGATAAATAGGGATTATGAATTAGGGAGAAAGTTTTTGCTTAAATGAAGGTTTTCGATCAGCTGTAGATTTAATTTGACAATGAACTGCTTTTAGGTATTAAGATAAACAAGAGTTTGCTATACCCAAAGTCTGCCAATTATCTCATTTTGAAACTCTGAAAGCAACACTGGTGTTTWAAAAAAATAGGAACAAATTGTCCTTTTGATATAATAAAATGGCTATTTCTTTTTTTAAAATATGTTTTTAGATATTGATGGACCTTTTTATCTTTATTCATTTTTATTATTTATATGCGGTGCTGAGAATTGAACCCAGGGCTTCACACATGCTAGGCAAGTGCTCCGCTGCTGAGCCCTCCAGCCCCGAGAAAATGGCTATTTTTTTTTACAACTAATTATACTGGAAGATTTGTGGGTAGTTCAGGGCTACTCACTTCAGTACAAGTGATGGCAGGGTACATTATTTTCCCAAAACAATCATGACAAATAGCCACTAAAAATATTAAAAGGTCAAATTTAAAAAGTTATATCCATTTCACCTAAAATCTCATTTAAAACAATTTAGTAATATTTGGCTATCTTCAAATAATTAAAAAGCTACAAAGAAAACAGAAGCAAAACCTACAAGAATAATTTAAAAGTGATTTTTATACTATATAATCTTAGATTATGACTAACATAAAACATACTACACATCTGTAACCCTACTTTTGGCACGCATTTAGCCTCTGTATTTAAACTTGTTCTGTAGATAATGACTGACAAAATCAAGGAAAACAACTTCACAAGTGAGTACGGGTTGCTCAGACACCACTCAAAATGGTCTGTGTGGCGTCACCTGCATTACTTTTGGGTACAGATGCATGCCACACTCACTTCAAACACAACAGCAATAATTGTGTAGAACATCACTTTCCTGAATTAAGTTTGCTGAACATGGTTCAGATTATTGGATATGTCAATAATGCACAATGCCTTTTAGAAGCATTTACTGTATACCCAAATCCTACTTCATGCAACACACAGTGTCACACAAGTAGTGAAAATGTTATCCTAGTCAAAGATGCTTGGACATTATTTTCAGGCAGCATTTTACCTTTATTTTAAGTTCAGACTATATAATATAAGTTTTAGGAGAAAGAAAATGCCAATAAATTTATTTAATATATTTTAATATATTATATAAAACTAAGACAGACACTTTTATTTACCTAAATTGTTACTTTTATTTTCTACCCTATTCTAGACCTCAATTTTACTTTAAAAATTTGTATTTAAATAAGGGATAAAATGTTGCCCAAAAGTCTAATCATAGTTACACATTTGTGTTTTTTACTAGATCTACAAATCAAAATAGTTCTTATAGTTAAAAAGATACAATTTGTATCAACAGTAAAAGGTACTTTCTGGTTTTTCAGGGCTTTACTTCAAACTACAGCATGTAGAATAATCCCAATGACCAGAGCATCCAGGCAGACTGTAAAAATAGATCTGAATGTGTCTGCTACACTAAGTAAAATCCAGAATCTAGAGGRAACAGTCAAGTTATGTCAATCACATGACTGACTGCCGCTGACTGCAAAATCTATCTTCTAGTCCATAGAAATGTAACTGCAACAAGCAAAACCCATGACTTTGAAACCAGAAATATCCCTTACTAATACTAGAACAGACTTTAGTCTGTATCTAAAACTACACTATTTGTGGCAAGAGTCTGGCCTTAATAATATAACAGGCCCCCCAAAAAAACTACCTTCAGGAAATGGAAAATATACAGTATCTTACAAAAATTTTAAGTTACCATTTACACTCCTCCATCACCACTTCTATAGTGCAGTATCAATAAATGTTGCATATCCTCAACACATAAAACCACCTCAGGCCAGCCTTGATAAATAGCAGGAAAGCTAGAGTATATTAAATATAAAAGTTGCATTGAGAATAATTAGATTCATTAAAAACAGGCAAGTACTGTGAAAGGGTTATTTATCCAGTATTGTTGTGCCCCCCAAACAAATAGACAGACATTAAAAATACGGGTTAATGGAAATCGAGGAATTCAATTCCATTCCTACTGTCTAGAAGCACATCATAGCTGGATAACAAAGCTCTAACCTGTAACAGTTACGGCTTTTGCCTTATTCATAAAAAAATAAAAATAAAAAAATGGAAATGATTTTTTCCATTGATTGCATCTGCTTTCTTTTAAACTGACCATATTAAGTTAACTAATTCTTAACAGAAAAAATCCAAACAAAAATACAACAGTGAAAAGTGCCATATTGTAAATCATTCTAATATATACTGTTACCCTTTTCAACATAAACCGGTAACTTACATTTTGTCTAAAATATAAAGTCAGTGCTGTAGTATATCTTTGTTTCTATAAATAATGATTATAGCACAAAGAAGCCCACTTTCCCCAAATAAAAATAACTTAAAAAGCTGTAAAAGATTCTAATTAAGCTTGGCTTGAAAAAATAGTTTGCTAGGTCTAGTCAAAGTTTCCACATTCTGAAGGTATTATAATTGCTTGCGATTGATAGATAAACACCAAGTTAATAAAACATGAAACAAAGATAAAAAGTGCTGCATATAAACCCCTGATGCACCAAAGATTAATATCAAAGATCACAGATACATCTATTAAATCAAACTGGAAAATTTTCCAGCCAAGGATATAGCTTTAAAAAGGAAATGTTTAAAAAAAAAGTTTGAATGTAAAGCAATCCCGTGATACTTCCACCAAGTGGGGCTATACATACAGATTCCATGATACAGTATTTCACATAAATGGATACTATTTAACCTCCTTGCTGAGAAGGAGATCACATGTGCTATTGTAGCAAACCTCCCTCAGCATTTGAGCTGAACAAAAAACTACTAAACACCACAATGATGCATCATCTTTCAATAACCCAGCTGTGATTTCTCCACTAAAATGGCTGCAGCAAGCTGCTGGGCATCTGTCATGTGAGGATTTCTTTTCATGACAATTCTCACAAGGTCAGGTGGGAAGATGTTGCACAAGTTGATATAAATCTTTTCCCGGTTGTCTTGGTACCTTGGAGGATCTTGTGGTATTCCACAATATGGTATTCTCCAGGTGGGCTCCTGCTGTTCAGGTAGGCTCTGGAAGGTGAACTGCTCGTAACACGGTGGTGTGGAGTTATCAGGCAAGGAATAAGTCTGCCGATACCCATAGGCATCCATTCCGAAACTCGGCCTATCCCAGCTTCCCAACCCTTCCTGACGGGAGTAAGGCTTTCTTTGTCTTGAAGGAGAACTGTCATAGAGTCTGGAATCAGAAATGCTGTCTATTCTGGTAGCCACTAGGGACCTTCCTAGGTGTGGTGTCTTCGAGTGTGCTGAACTTGGAGGAGAGGGGTAATCACCAGGACAGCTAGACCGGGCACCCACAGCAGGGTGCTGCAGATGCATAGCCAAGTGTGGAAGAGGAGGCTTGTGATGGAACTTTGGTTCTTCATGACTGTAACTTTGCACTCTGGTTAAGGGGTCGTGGAAATTCTGCAGGAAAGGCTGGGAATTAAGGCGGCTGTGAGGGTGCATGTGTTGACACTTCAAATTCTCTTCCAGCTGGGGGTCAGGAGAACTGACATAGGATCGGTCATTGTACCCCACATATGAGTCACTACTCCCACAGCTCATACTCCCTTCACTGCTGCAGTCAGAAGCTACAGAACTTATTCTATAGTCTGTGTCTAATGAGAAACGCCTTTCAGGACTTCTTGGGCCTGAGATACTCAGATTTGAATATGCATTTAACATGGAATAATATCCAATGTCAACAGGTGAGTCACATTTTGGATACTGTTCATAAGGCATTGGCGTTCCATGATTTTTGGTTGCCATCATCATTGGAGGATATTGTCCCTGTGGTCTTTGATCCTGAGGTGGGAAATGAACTCCAGATGGAAGGCCATTGCTTAAAGATGTAGTGCTTTGGGGTTTTGCAGTAGAAGTAGCCGGTATACTAACTAAGGAAGGTACAGACCTGGTTTCCAATTTGTTTTTGGTGGGAAGCTTTTCTTCTAGGTCTTGGTAGACTTGAGTCCTTATGCTTGGATCTGATTGCCTCTTTGGAGCACCTCGTTTGACGTCAGAAGTGCTATCAGCCTTTGTGCTACAAGGAACACTGTTGCTTTTCACCAGTCCTCCTTCATTTGCAGTTTTGGCTGCTGTATTTCTAGACATGGCACGAAGTTCATCAGCCACTGACCGCTGAGGCTGACTGCCCCTTTCGGGATGGTAATATTTGCACTTGTGTCCATAGGTACACTTCTTTCCTAAGAAGAGTAAAATTAGTTAGGTAAAGTAGCGTACCATCAGATTCTGAAAAATCATCATGGCACTAGTATTTTAACTTGTGAAAGAAAGCAGAAATGGGAGATGCGCTAAGTGTTATTCTCTGTTCCATACTCATGAGAAATGTCACTTTTTAGTCTTCATTTCTTACTAGCAAGAGCAGTAAGAAAGTTGGCCAAATGATTAGTGATGACCTCACAGCTTTTGGCTAATACCATATGTTATCAACTCATACTTGCCTCTTCTCTTCCAGTGGGACTATATAATCAGGTAGGAAATTCTGTTTAGAAGAATAACTGTGCTGCTATATTATAATAAAGCCATGCTTATCTAATTTGTGTCTAGATAGATGAATTCTAAATTTTTACCCACCTAAAAACATCGTATAGAATTAACTGAGTTTTCAAACCATATTTTAGTTCATGGCAATTCATATTCATATTGAAGCCAAATAGGTAAAAATAATTAAGGAATTTTCTTAAATTTAATTACAATCAAAAGAACCACATATTATGCCAACCAAAATTTTAAATGCTGACTTTTATTAACAAAAGTTTAACAATATATTGTGTTCTAAATATAAATGTTAAGTATTCATAAAGAAAGTTACCATATGGACACGGCTGCTTTTTGTGTTCAGGAACAATAGGTTTCTTCCTCAGAAAATTATCCAGACTTGGGCCATGTCTGCCAAGAGGGTCATCAGGGGGCATAAACCTAACATGGAGATAGTAAAAAATGATACTTAAATAGGAGGTTGATAATTTAATTCTAAAGATACTATACAAAGATTTATTTACTCTAAGATAATTTGAAGTTTTAATCCAAGTTTTTGATTCAATATTTACAGAGTAAAAAAATGACAAACACTACAGAAATTTCTTCTTTCTTAGAAACTAAAGTAAAATATCTTAAGCTGAACTTGTATGTTTTTTAATTCAAACAAATTTTGAATCTAGCGTCTTTTAATTTTGTTCTTCTTCTCAGAGGAATGCTGGGATTTTTTTAAGGATTTCAGAAAGTGATTACAACGAAATTTTATGAGAGTTCTGTAAACATCTGTGTTGTGAAGTTGTATGAAGCAGGTGGGGAGTAAGATGGAGCATCTGAGGAAGGGAGGGGAAGAGAGGGGAATGCAGTGAGAACACAGGGACTTGTTGGACACCAGTTATGTGTCAGATACTTTACATGCAATAATCCCATGAAGTATTAGCTCCATTTACAGATTAATAAAATTTTCTAATTTAGGTATAAAAGAATTAAGTAATTTTTATCTAGTGTCTCATAACATAGGAAATATTCAATTATGACTGACTGTTCAAAGTCTATTCTCTTCCTACTATAGTAAATGTACTTCTTAGATGAAATGGATAAAAAATCTTAAGGAAGTAAACTTATTATTATTTGGATTGACTGTACAATGGAGAAAAAAATTTATAGTGTGCATGATAAAAAGAAATTATGATTGAAGAATTATACTACTTGTCATGATACTGCTAGAACTTGAAATAAGCCTAAGTAGTTATCTACAAAATAAGAATAATGCAAGTAATGTATGAACTCTTAGGGAAATGACAAAATGGCTGAGTAATAAACAGTTGGCAAAAACAGTGTTTGCTATCATGAAAACAATGTATCAACATAAAAGTTAAAAAATAAAAGACCAAGTCACAACAACCACACAATTTTAATACAATTATTTTCCATGCTTTGTCTTTTTTGTTTGTTTTGTTTTCTTTTTCTTGTTTCTTTTTGTTGCTTTATCTTTTTAACATAAAATATCTTTCCATGTTTCTTAATAGCTTTCATAATAATAATTATGAACAGATGAATAATATTCCAGTAGGATATGCAATGTAACGTGATTGCTTTCTCTACTGCATCTTTAGCTTCCTTTGACTTCTTGCAATTATAAACAATACAAAAACAAACATACCTGGTCTTTTCTTTTTTCCTCATTATATATTTCAAGAAATGAGAATATTGGATTGAAAGGGCAAACATTTTTGAAACTTCTGCTAAATTTTGCTAAAATATACATCAGTTTATATGCATCTTTAAAAGCATAAGGCACACACAAAAATATTTTTTGTGAATTAAATAGGTGAGGGGCTGGGGTTGTGGCTCAGTGGTACAGCACTCAGCCTAGCATGTGTGAGGCACTGGGTTCAAGCCTCAGCACCACTTAAAAACAAATAAAAAATAAAATTATTWAAAAAAGATGAGAAATAAAATACTTTTTAGATTGGTTTGCATTTTTTATTATTCAAAGATGATATTTTTCTTCATATTTATAAATATATTCATTTCTATGTAACATGCTGGTTCATGTCATTTGTCCATTCATCAACTTGTAGAATGTGACTATGACTAGAGTCTTATATTGGTTTTGCAAACTTTAAAAAATCATGCCTTTAGTAAGCTATCAATGCTCTAAATTGACTTGTGAAAAGTATCTTTTTTAGGGTGAAGATGGGAGTTCTTCACCCTCAGAGTTTAAACTTTCTTGGCCTCAGGTGCTCTGTTAGAGGTTTCAGGGAAGGGCAGGGGCCTGTCGTTCATGCAAAGCCTTCCATAGCACAAGTCTGCAGTTTTTCTGACTACCACTGAGGATCAGTAGGAGATCAGTTGTTGGAAGAAACCTGTCTCAGGTCTGGGCACCATAAAATAAAAAGGATTCTTAACAGCTGCCAGGTATAGTTATATTTTCAAGGAAGCAAGAGCATTGGTTTACTTACTTGTCATTGACAAAGGAATACATTAATAACCGCTCATCTATGAACTTCTTCCATTCTGGTTTTTCATTAGCCAAATCCCTGTAGTTATCATTGGACACAATTATACCATCTGACTCAAAAGCAAGCTTCACAATGAACCTGTCATCATAGCACACCACTCGCCTTCCCTGGACTCGCCGGGATGGCGTGAACACCAGGATTTTTTCCTTTTCCAATTTACGTAAAATTTCCTGATCTGCAAGAATAGTAAGGGCAGAATTTGAGGAATACATAAATATATAACATGTAGAATGAAAACTTTCATACATTGTGAGTTTTTAATGAACTGGAATATATGTAATCATTTAATTAATATGTAACCATAGTTGGTAGAAGTAGCAAAATTTGTAACTCCCTAGAATATTTTTTTTCCAGGAATTTAAGGCTTTAAGAATAGTAAAACAAAATAAAACAACAAAACCTGATCAGCATAAACCTCAATGTGATTGAGAAAATTCTGATTTTCATTCCATGAAGCTTTTACTAAAAGCCTGCTCTTAGCAAATTTATAGAACAGCTAAGCTATAGAACCAGCAGCATTACTGCTACAATGACACTCTAACAAAGAATATGAGTTGGGTTTAAGAGAGGGCAGAAGGTATTTTCCTCCCAAGTTTGTGTATTTTGTAGTTTTTTTTTTTGTTGTTGTTGTTTGTTTGTTTTTCTAACTGGTTGGTGTGATGGTAGGAGAATTTGAAAAGTAGTAGTACATGTAGTAGAGATAGTCAAGGGAAACCTTAAAATATAAAAGAAGTTCAATAAAAAGGAGGCAGAAAGCTCAAGAAAGTTGAAATAAGGTCAGAAATATTGGCTATTATATGTTCTGTGTCCTTTTCTCTGAAATGTGGCAACAAATAGCCAGTTAGTAATTAAAAAAAAAATCTTTTCAACAGACAATTACTACATGCCTACTCTGTGGCATGTGTTGTGCTAGGTATCAAGAACCACCAAGGTTAATGTCATCTCCTCAAAGAGGGCACAGTCTTACTGGATCAGACAAACATGCAAACTAGGTAAGCAAAAGTATAATTGCCATTGCAGAAATATGAGCAGGCTCTACAGGAAGAGGAAATGGAGGAGTGATATGGGTTAGCTCTAAYATGAATTGGATGATGGTCCTCACAAATGAATTCATTAAGACCAGAACTTGGTTTAAAAAATCAGCAAAGCAGTAATGGAAGATAAAAGGGTGTTAGAATTAGCAAACCATGGATAAATCTCAGATTCTCTCACTTCTTACATCTGGCAATCATAATCTCATTGAGACTGTTTCTTTATGTCTGCAAATGCAGTGGCAAGCCTATGAGGAGTAAACAAGTTAACATGAGTAAAGGACACCACATGGTGCCTGGCAAATTCTTAATAAACACTGTGCTCTTCAACTTAATAGAGACATGTAAYTTTCGGATCTCTTTTAAAAAATCAGAGAAAACCAATTTGAAAGCAAAAGTCCAGACTCAATTATAAAATTCACTATATCACAATTACTGTGTTTCCCTCATAAAGATTTTGGGGACAGGTACCATGTCTCATTTATCTTTGTATCCATTAGCACCAAGCCCATGATATGAAACATATCAGTAGATGCTCAATAAATATTTATGTAATGAATGAATAAATGAGCTACTTGAAGATGTATACTCTGAAAACTTCCAGTGTATTCACTGTATTATGTGCATGAGTGATCCATGGTACCTCATTATTCAGGAGGGTATTTACTGACATCTGATATTCCTTAAGCCTTGATAAAGAGACTGCAGGAATAAATGTGGCAGCCTAATAATCAACACAATCTTGCTTAATCTGAATTTATAGAACAGCTAATGAGGTTGAAGGGACAATTAACTGGATGACACATAAATAATCCTAACCTCAATACAGGTTCAGTATAGCTGGTAAGTTAACATAGATAGTGCTTAGTAAGTATTTGTTAAAACAAATGGAAGAAGAGCTGGGTGCAGTGGCAGATGTCTGTAATCCCAGTAGTTCAGGAGACTGAGGCCGTGGATCCCAAGTTCAAAGCCAGCCTCAGCAACTAAGGTAAACCTTGTCTCAAAATAAAAAATAAAAAACAGGCTAGGGATGTGGCTCAGTGGTTAAGTGCCCCTGGGTTCAATCCCTGGTATCATGGGAGGGGATGGGGGAGAAGATTGGCAAAAGTGCTAGCCTGAATCTGAAACCTTTAATAATATATATTTTTTTGCATTATTTTTGGTGCACTGTGAGCACTGGACTATTCAATTTATCAGGTGTTACCTGAATGAGGGCTTTAGTCAAGAAAATTATTATATTTGGAGAGAAAACACTTAAAAGCCTCTAATAACAGTTCTGGCATTTTACTAAGTAAAGTGCACATTGAATTTCAGAGACCTGGTATGCTGGTGTTTTTAAACCAAACTCAGCCACACTTCACATGTATATTATCATTATTCCTTCTTGATTTTTATTCTTTTCCTACTTAAGAAGCCTGCAAGTCATTCATATACTTAAACATTGAGCCAGGCACAGTAGCTGCATGCCTGTTATCATAGAGACTCTGGAGGCTAAGACAGGAATATTGCAAGTTCAAGGTCAGCCTCAGCAAAGTAGCAAGACCCTGTTTCAAACTAAAATGTTCTGGGAATGTAGCTCAGAGGTAAAATATCCCCGGGTTCAATCCCCAGTACCAAAACATAAACAACAACCCAAAACCCCAGACCGTTAATGTGAAAGAATATGTCCTCTTAAAATTTCTGCTTAAATATTCTACCTATTATATCAATCAATCCTAATTTATGGATTCTTTTAACAAAATTATAATTTTTTTCATTTTTTTCCTATTCAAGATAATATAGCAATGAATATCTTTGGTCATAATCTTTGCCTGTGAGCTCTGCTATTTTTGGGAGGTGGGGTGGGGGCGGGGAATTATTCCTAAAAGATGAACTAGTAGGTCTAAAAATACAGTAGCCACACCCACCCATCCTGGATATGTATGTTCCAGGACTCCCAATGGATCTCTAAAACCACAGATAGTACCTAATTCTCTATATTCTGCACTTTTCTGTACATACATTCCCACAAAGTTCAGTTTATATATTAGGCACAGTAAAAATCAATAATTAATAATTAAATAGCATAACTATAACAATATACTGTTATGTTGAACGTGGTCTTTCTCAAAATATTTTATTGTAGTATAGATTTCAGTAACAGCATATTGTTAAGTCAAGAACTTTCACCTTTTTACTTAGAAGAATTACTTTACAGCTTCTCTTTAGCATACCCAAATTGGCAGCATAACTCTTGAGCTTTAGGACTTAATTAAGAAAAATAAGGGTTACTTATGCACAAGCACTACAATAGTCAATCTGATAACCCAAGAAGGCTACCAAGTAAGAAATGTGCGGGCAGCACAGTGTTGATATGCTGAACAATGGGATATGATATGATTCACGTTCTGGATAGGACGGAGCAGGACAGCATTAGATTTCATCACACTAGTCAGAACAGTGTACAAATTAAACAAATTAAAYGTAGGAAATGTTTATGCATTCATAACAGAACTGCATTTTACGTTAAGAACATGAATTCTTTATTTGTTGCAGTTTTTCTTATATAATTGATGAATTCTTCAGAAAGTTTCTGCAAAGGTAAAAGCTTACATTTTTGATGTAATTACATCTATCTTTCTCCCACTCAAAGACTACTTTTAGTCTTTAATGGTTTAATTTTTGACAATTACCTCTTCAACTATCTGGAATTTATTATTATAGGGCATAAGATAAAAATCTAAACAAGTATGTTTTTTTTCCAAGGAGTTATTCCAACATCATGTACTTTTAGCAGAATTATGCCAGCTCTCACATTTTTATGTGAGTCCATAGCTTTGGACTTCACCCTTGGCTGCCTACACATTTTATCATAATTTGACAATGACTTTAATAATTGAAAATAAAAAGAACACTTAAAGTAATCTACCCCTTTGGGTATATGATAGGTGGTCATTTGTTGTTGATTTGAAAAGTTTTATGGTTTCCTTCAGAGTTGCCTCACAGATTTTGTTAATATTAGAGGTGGAAAAAAGGACAGGAAGGGTTGGATGCTGATATTACAAAGGACATCTCTACCTGAAACTCATGCATTTAAAAATTATGAACTAATATAAAGTATGAATATAAATAGTTTATTGAGACTAGTCATTTTCTTCTTGACCAGACAGCATATTCTGTGGTCTTAGAGGTCTTTTTTAACTTGTAACCATTAGAACTTGACTGGCATCTAGTCTAATTTCTAATAGCGTATGAGAAAAGTGGGGTTCAGAGGCTCAGTGTGCTCAAAGTTCTGTTGCTAGTAAATGGCAAAGGTAGAGAAGGCTTCTTGTCTCAGCATGTCTCTAGAAGTCAGAATTTTAAGGGTTGGGGTTTTGGCTCAGTGGTGGAGTGCTTGCCTAGCACTGGTGAAGCACTGGGTTCAATTCTCAGCACCTCATATAAATAAATAAAATAAAATAAAAATAAAGGTATATTGACAACTAAAAAAATATTTTTAAAAAGTCAAAGTTTCCATATAAATGAAAAAAAACCCCTGACTCATGTAGTGAAGATTAGTGTTCAGTTAATTAGATAATTTTCAAACTTGAAAACAATTTTAATGTCCCACACAAGACAATTGCAATTATATAGAATAAACAGAACTGGATTAAGAATACCTGAGTGTTAAGGGATCTACATCGGTATTATACAGAAGCTAGGAACAAATTGCCTGTAATGAGCTTACCTGTAATGAGAGCATCAGGTCGGGATTGCTCTTTTCTCCAAGCAGGAACAAAAACTGTAATATCTTTATGGCCTCTTTCCAAAAACCAATCCACTGCCAATTTTATTCCTCGGCAGGAAAATACTTCTTTGTTTCCATGGCTGAAAGATTATTTCATAATACTTAAAACACAACAAAACCTAAGTTCAATTAAATTAATTCAAGTTTATAAACAGAAACAACTGCATAATAATAATAGCAATATTAGATTTGAAAGTTAAGGTGAAGGCCGAGCTCAGTGGTACATGCTTATAATCCCAGTGGTTTGGAGGCTGGGGCAGGAGGATTTTGAAATCAAAGCCAGCCTCAGCAAAGGCAAGGTGCTAAGCAACTCTGTGAGACCCTATCTCTAAATAAAATATAAAACAGGGTGGTGGTGTGGCTCAGTGATTGAGTGCCCGACCCTGAGTTCAATCCCCAGTAGCAAAAAAAAAAAAAAAAAAAAAAAAAAAAAAAAAAAAAGGGGAGACAGTTAAGATAAAGTTGCATTCCTCAANGCTAAGCAACTCTGTGAGACCCTATCTCTAAATAAAATATAAAACAGGGTGGTGGTGTGGCTCAGTGATTGAGTGCCCGACCCTGAGTTCAATCCAAAAAAAAAAAAAAAAAAAAAAAAAAAAAAAAAAAAAAAGTGTGGGGGGAGACAGTTAAGATAAAGTTGCATTCCTCAAAAAAATTAGGATAACTTAGTTGAAAAATCAAGATCAGTGAGAAAACAATTAGAAAACTGAAGTGATTACTGTAGAAAATAAAGAAAAAATAGGTTTCCAAATGTAAAGTTATAAAGATTAACTAGTCAAAAAGTTTACAAGTTCTTTTTGATAAAGAAAAAGCTTCAACCACAGAAAGAATTTTAATCAAATGTAAAAAAGTCACACAGAAAAAGAAATCTGTAAAAACAGTGAAATGGAATACTTCAGTTTCTAAAAATTTTTCCTTTTTAATAGTTCTTATGTATATTTTTCAATATAATGACTAAGTCACGCACAAAAAATTTTAGGTAACAAATGTAAAATAACCCCACATAGTCATGGAAAGGAAAAACACGTTCACAATGCTTTATCTCATACAAAAAAAATACTTTCTATATCCTGCAATGAAGAGATACCTATTTTCTGTTCAACAATATTGTGTTGGACAAGGATTAATGATGTCAAAGGGCATTCAAAATTGGATTAGCAGTCTTAGTGTCTAAAAGAAAATGCCCAACTCAGGAGTCATTCAATAAGTATTTATCTAGCACAAGGTTCTACTTATACATATTAACCAAATAATTAAAATAACACTATTTTCAATCTTTTTAAAGAAAGAAGTTTCTGCTTTGAATGTAATTAACTGCATTCTTTACAGCTTAAATTCCGAGGGCTCCCTTTCTTACACATTATTTTATTTTTGGGACAAAGAAGGGCTGAATGAAATTATGTAGGTAAATGCTTCTGTTAACTTTTAATAGACATCAACCATTAGGAAACCCAAGAACCACTAACATGCTGTAATCATTTTCAGTACAAAACAAAAATTGATTCACCTGCTTCATAGATGTTAAAGACTACAAATACAAACACAAGAAATTGTGTTTCATGGTTTCACAGACCTGTTTTAATGGTTCAGGGAAAGATTAGAGGTGAAGTCAGATTCACTGGAAGTTTCAAAGAATGGCATAAGGAAAGGAAGAGTGTGAGGTCACATTTTCTAGGTAAGAAGGGCTGCCTACTAGCCTGCAAATGCTCCAGAAAAAAAGGAACAAAGTGATGTTTGGTTTCATGGAAAATCCTGAAATTTAACCAGTCTCTGAAAAACTATAGAAAATGAAGGTATCTCTTCAGAGAACACATAGAGCGTATTCCTAAATACACTCAACTTGCTAAAACTTTACTATATTTTTGCTTTACTTTATTGTTTTGAAATCTATTATATTACGCTTTGCCAGTAAAATGATGATATTTGTTTTATTGAGAGTTGACAATTGTTTCTGCCTCTAAAGACAGGCATGCATAAGCAATTTCTTCCTGGTTATTTCATTCAATAAGGGTAACTGTCACATTTACTCACTGTACAAATAGAAGATTCCATCTTCTCATTAAAAAACTGTCATAAAATGTGTGAGACACCAGACCATTTACAATCATGGGACATAATTCTATAGATTCAACAATAGAAACTGTATCAATTCCAATAATAAATTTTGTCCTCATTATCCTCTCCTCACCCTCCACAAAGCATCACTGGGAGAGAAAAGGAATGAATAAGGATGAAAGGTGGTAAATAGAAAAATAAAAAGAGCCTGGATTTCTGAGCAGATGGACTCAAATCTATGTTCAATCTTTGTTGTATGAGAAAAAATAATTCCACATTTATGGAAGCAACTGTAGTGCAACTTTCTGTTGTTTGCAGTTGAACACATCCTTAACTTCCACACTAGGCAGACTATAAACCAAAGTAAACTGGCACAGCTGAATCAATACCAGGGAAAAGTACATAGTTTAAGGCAAATACATTTCTAGGGATAAAAAAGCTATTACATAATAGTAAAATCGGAACAATTCACAGGCAACTATGGTAATCATGAACTCATAATCTGTGTCAATAAGGCAAAAGTTCACGGGATTACTAAAAGAAATTAACAAATTCACAATCATACTAATTGACAGGTGAAGCAGAAAACATTAAATAAGAATATAGATAATAGGAACAATCAATTAAAAACTTGATCTAATGGACATATACAAATCCTGCACAAATTCAGGGAATAGAAAATCTTTTTGTGAGCACATCAAAGCTTCATAAAATTGGCTTTATACCAGGCTATAGAACAGATTTCAACAGGTATCAGGAATCTGAATCATACATAAAATATCCTTTGACCACAATATGTTACTACGTTACAGACATGAGGTTCTAACAAAAGCAATTTAAATTTTTAACTTTAAAAGATTATTTAATTTGTAATAATAATTAAAGCTAAACAAATCTAAACAAAAAGAACTTTATGGAAAAAATGAAAATTAGAAACTTGTATTAAAGTATACAAGAACTAAAAAAAGAAACAATATAACATTTGCAGCAGCAGTTAAGACCCAATTTATAAAGATGGCTATCAAGTTAACATATAAAAGTACATTATATTACCAAACAAATTACAGAGAGAAGTTTTTACAGAACTTGAGAATCTGATCCTAAAATTGATATGGAAAAACAATGAAAACAATGCTGGGGGCTGGAGTTGTGGGCTCAGTGGTAGAGCGCTTGCCTGGCATGTGTGAGGCCCTGGGCTTATTCTCAGCACCGCATATAAATAAATACAAAATAAAAGTAAATAAAAGATCCGATGACAACTACAAAAAAAAAATAAGGTGATGTTACAAATCAAAATTGGTAAAAGATGGACTATTGAACCAATGATACTAGGACAACTGGCTATTCATATGGAAAAAAATAAAACTGTACTTTTAATTCTTTCCATATGCAAAATGTAAGTTGTAAGCAGATCTAAGATTTAAATATGAAAAGAAACATTGTAAAACTTTTAGAAGAAATGACAAGAGACATTCAGAGTAGGATAGGGAAGTACTTGTTAAATAAGACAAACAACCACGTACTATCATAGCTTTGAACATATAAAAGTTCTTTACCCAATACTCCATAATTTATAAAGAAATGTCATATTGGAAAAAGAGACTTGYAATCTGTACAAACAATCAAAATTCTAATAGTTAGAATATATTAAATATTCTTTTATATCAAAAACAGTAACCCAGTTTTTTTTTAAGGTAAAAGATATGAACAGTCAATTCATAGAAGAGGAAACCCAAATGACCAATAAACACATGAAAAGATGTTCAAAAGTGGAAAAATGCAAATTAAAGTCAAAATGAGACACTCCTTCACACCCATCAGATTGGTAAAAATAAAGTCTGCAAACACCAGATGTTGCCAAGAATGTGTGAAAGTAGGAACTCTTACTGTACAGGTGGGAGTATAAATTGATGTAACTATTTGGGAGAGCAATTTGGCAATACTCTATAAAGTTGAAGGCGTGCTTTCTCTAAAACATAGCAATTCTACATCCGGGTTTAGTAAAACTACACAGTAACCTAAAATTAGATTCAATGCAATTAGCCATTGGCTTTCATCCTCTGCCCAGCCTTAGATTTTTACATGGGATAGGCAAATGTTCCTCACTGCTAAAGGGAAGAGAAAGGCATGCAGGAGGGGTAGGTCCCCGAGTCTCCAAGATTTTCACAGCCAATCCTCCCTGATCAGGAAAAAAAATTAAAAGCTAACTAAGAAATTCCTAAAATGGCTGTTATTTTGGAAGTCCCTGTTAAACACCAAGACCCAGAATTATTCCTACTAAGATTTAAGTCCAAGCAGACAACCACCAGGTGGCTCCAAATTACAGAGGTAATTTGTAGGGGTCTTGGACATATCAGGAGAGGTTTGGGGAGACTGAACTTAATCAAATCTTACTGAGGCATGTTGAAAGATGTGATTAATGATATGTGCTAGATATAGTAAAAGAGACAACTATAGGAGGTACTAATGAAAAAATGACAAGAGTTAAGTCTGATAAAAATTATGAAAAACAGGATGTCCAAGTACAATGTTACTGATGCAATTAACTATCTGTTGGCTGTTTATTAAAAAAGAACCCCAGCTTTAATTCTATATAAGAACAAAATTCACAATAACTCTGTAGCCACTTATGGGCTATCTGCATACACTCAGGGATTTTTCTCCCCTGAGTAATGAAATTAGATAATATTATATTTATGAATTAGTATATTCCTTCAGACATCAATTTCTTTTTTTAACCTAAAAATTTAGCAATAAGGATGGTTGGTAAACCTTAAGTAAGTTCTTCTGTTGGGTGATTTCATTGGAGGACATTGTGGTTACCTTAAATTAGGTAGAAGACCCTGAATATATGCTGAAAAGTTACCCTCCAACTGTTTCGGTTTAGTGGGATAGGGTTTCTGGGGTAAAATTCCAAATCTTCACAGCAAATTTTGAGTTACTGTTGATCAAAATGGGTAATATGAGCTTGAAGATCTCATCTGACTATGATACTGGCTAATAGTAGAAAAATATGAGAAGTCCA